GACCAAATTATTCATAGTGTACTGTGATAAATAATATGAGTAGTTTTTGATATAACAATAAGGTGGTCCTCATTTAATAAGTAGGTAGTACCAAAAAATTCCAAAAATTTGAAAATATGGTCTCTAAAAACATATAAAACAATTTCAAAACTAAGAATAACTCTAAGTAACTGCAGTATTKAAAAGAGAAAATAGAGGGTGATTTATATATCTACGAATCAGCCATATATCAAGTAAAATGTMTATATTTGTAAATTTTATAATTTCACATTTGATTTCAAACGTGTCCAATGAAAAACTATCAAAGTCAAACCAAATACACATAAAATCGACACAAATTACTAAATAACGTTACGAACAAAATCGTTTCATCTTATCATGAGAGGTTTATTTATTTTATCTCGGTAGAAGTGCAGTCCATTACATCCGTCACCATGTATAGTCTGAACAGTTTGTTTCAGATTTGTTGGTTTGTCTCAAAAACCAAACAAAACTTTAAAAGAAAACACTGTGTGACCGTATTTAGGAGCGATGCAGAGACGACGAGCAAAGAGATGGCATACACTTGAAGTCCTCGTAATTTATCAGGATTTACCTCTCAACTCATCGGCGGCATACACAGTCTTAACAATGGCGTTCTGGGTCCAAAGACAAATATGCGGTCAAGCAGACACGGTTTTTCCGTTGCTAGCTAAAGGTTAAAATCGCAGACAATGACAAGTCTAAATACAGATAACATCAACGGACGTGCACGCCGTTTTTGTTTACCCAAAAGCCTCACATTACTTAGCCTCACTCATTTTAATGAGAACTGTTAAAACTAATATATATATATATATATATATGTATAAACGTTCTTTGTAAAAAAAAAACTACCTACGATATAAAGACACAAAGCTTCGCACATTTACGAGTTCTTGGTACACAATGACCTTTGTAYGTGTATAAGTTAACCTTATGTCTTTATAACGGTCGATAACACTATTGTGTCAAAAACTCGTTATATATAATATACGCTTTTCGTATCAAACACGAGCACGAGTGTATAGTAGTTACAAGTAGGATTATATTATATGTTAAAAACGGATTCACATAGTCTGCTCTGTAACAATTATTATTATTATGTAGTACCTATTGAATTTTGGTATCAGTTATAMCACTGATCATGATACTTAAAATAACGGTTAGTAACTGGGTATGCTGATTGCGTACGTTTGTTCTTTTTGGCAACACGATTGCGTACCTATGTTTGTAGATGGGTTAAAAGTACCTTTGAGAAAAAATAAATAAATACAATTGCGTATGAATTTTTTGCAACGTTGTCAAATTTACTAATTTCGTCGTACCTATATAGGCAAATTAAATAATAATATAATAATAATAAATAATAAATAAAATGAGGTGAACTAAATAATAAAAAAGTAATTTGTTAATAAATTAAATCGTCAATTATTATTTTAATAAAATTATCGTAAATACATTTTTTTAAATGCTTGAATTTAAATTTCTTGACATCTATAGCCTACTAATTTTAAATATTGATTTACGTTTTATGGATTTTATACTCATCATAATCCATTATTGTATTTTGAATTCTGTTTAAGTCTTTTTTGCCATTTTCTTTACTTTTCTATTATGAACCGATTGTATCGTATAATTGATCGGGCCTTTCAATATTTGAATAACAACATGTGTTGGAGGATGAGCACTGTAAAATTGTCCATTAAAAATCCTATGAAATCTTTCAAGTTCACTTGTGGTACTAAAAATACTTGATAATTCGATTGACAAAAAAAATATAATTTCATAAAATAAGACCGAAATAATCCAAAAAAAGCAAAACAAATTTTTAATTTGAGTTCTCTGTATCATGAAAAACATTTTTCTGCTATTTTTAAGCATCTCAAAAGAAATATGTAAATGCTATAAAATCTCAACCCTGGATATAATAGATGGTATATATATATCGGTATCAAAACTGGCAACAACGCATAAAACTTCGTACGCAATCGTGTAGTTAAAAATCAGGTAAAATCATACGGAATCGTGTAGCTTAAAAAARAAACTTCCATAACGAACGTACGCAATAGTGTTTTACCCATACTGATGATACTAAATACTTTTTTGGGCGAGGTCGAGTATAGTAATATTTTATCCTGTTTTGATGAGATCGACGCGAACAAGTTTTTCTCGATAATTGTCGCATTATTATAAACACATTTATAGGTAATTACTAACTGAAGTTCAAAAACGAAAACGAATAGAGCTGCTGTGTTTGTTTTTGAAACTTTTTGTGTTCTTTGAACGATTTTAATTTATGTTTGTCAATTTAAACTTTTAACTGTGGCAACACTTCATTAATTAAAGTATTTCTGGTTTTATAAATGCTCTATTCAATCCTGCTATACTATAAAAATGAAAAATTCTAAAACTATTTCATATTTTAGATTATGAGCAGAACGATGAATGTATTGATTTTATCATGATGTGTTTTTATGTGTCTGTCACACGTTTTGGGACAATGAAAGTGCTTCTATTTTCGAATTCAGTACCTCGATCGATCAAAAAGTGAAACTAGTTGGTACTTTGGGRTCAAAAGTACAAAATTCTCAATATTTTTCTAAATAATTGGAATAAACAAACTAAAAAATAAGGGAAAAACGGGAAATTTTACGCACAATCAGTTTTCAACAAAATCGATTTTGGTTTTTTATATGTAACTTTAAAACAAATTATCACAGATACATGAAATTTTCACCGAATGTTCATATATATATTCTATTCACCATACAATTTTCAAAAAATTTGGATTTTAGTTGAACTATTTAGAGGCATATGAAATTTTCGATCATTATAATTTTTTTTTTAAATTAATATCGATCAAAATTTATTTGTTGGGTACAAAAGCTTGAATATTTAGTACAAGGCTCCTAACATAATAACAATATGTTATTTTAATGTTACACCAATATCTAAAATAGAGTTACTCAAAAATTGATTTTGCGTAAAAATTTCCTTAATTATATTTTGGTTTTTCCTAGTGCTTTTGAAAACAATTAAAAATTTCAAAWTTTGACCTCCACTTTCCAACCGGAAAAGCTGCTGGAGTTGAAAATTTAATCATTATTTCAACAATTTATCGTGTGCATAGACACACACACACACACACACACACACACACACACACACACACACACACACACACACACACACACAAAAAAACACTTACAAAACATTGTAAAATGAATACATTTATCCCTCTGCTCAGAATCTAAAACACCATTTCAATGTGTCACCATTATTGTGTGGTTTTGTAATGAACTAATGATACAGAATTGTTAAATGAATTTTTTTATAATACGGATAAACACCAGTCATTTAAACGCCAATAGATTGATGCTCAAAACATAAAAATGATTAGTTTACAATATGTAATCACTTATTTCTTCAATATTTTAGATTCGGAATGAATGTGGTAAAACTGTACTCTGTAGTAAGAGTGAAAGGGTCGTGAGCCGCACATTATAATGAAAAATTATATGAAGATCACGAATATGAATATTATTTATTATTTTAACATTAAAAATGTCAATACCAAGAGCTGTGGTTTGTTCAACAATATTGTGTATACTATGGACTTTATCGTAAGTATAACACGGCGACTAATATAGGCAATATTGATACATGAATGCATGCTCAGCATATTATTATAATAAAATAATATTATAATATCATTTTGGAGAATAAATAAAATTATGTAATAATTGTATTACTCATTATTTAAGATATTAATATATAATTTATAAATAGGTATAAAACATCAGTATATTATACAGTGCAKAGTTAATTTTTCCCCCAAATTTTACAAGTTTTGTCAGATAGCCAACTTTGAATCAATTCGAAAAATGATATTTTGTTTTAGAATTTGATCTTACTATGATGGGAGAGGAGGAGGCAACGAAAGGTAATGAACTTTGATGTTTAAAATTTCATGAAAGAAAAAACTTTCAATCAAAAATTGATTTTTATAATTTTAAGATTTTGTAAGGTTTAGTAAATCCGGATTTATTTTTTAATTTATTATATTTTAATGGAAAATTTCAAAATCAAATTTAAAATTAATTTATAAAATATTTTAACCAGTTTGATATTGATCTGAAAAATTCTAAGAAAAACTTTTAAAATTCACTTTAAATATCGTATTTGATATTTTCAAATCTAATTCGAAATTATTTCTAATAAGTTTGCAAAATATTGACATATTATTTAAATCGATAGGACCAAGTTCTGAGGTAAGCTTCGTGGACTCGATAATAATAATGACATTCGGTTGTATAAATAAGGTTATTATTATAATTTTTGCATCGTAATAAGTAGTAATTCAAATCAAATGTAATAAATCGAACCACAACTCTGTGTATTATTATCTTACTTAAACAGAAAAAAAGGTCATTTGTGTAACATATATTATATTACTATCTTTCTAATATATATTTATGTATATCGAAACTTCCGTGATTCTCAAAACGGCACGGGTATATGTCATTACATTCATTATTATCTGACCCCACGCGGAGTGCTATCGCCAACATACGACAACCATATTGGACAGGTACGATTTATCCTCTCATTCAGGAACCCTCTTCTGACGTTATCTCCGCGAGCCCCCCGCTGACTCGATAAAAATAGGTTTGCCGATACGACCTACATTTTGTATTATAATAATAATAATAAATCCACCGCACGGCACCGCTCATAAATATTATAAGTGCTCGACGTAGACATACATATATATGACGTATATATCATGTAATACTACTACAACACTCAATATTGCATAATATGTGTGTATTATTATAATGGTGTTCGTGCGTATACCTTAACATTATGTACCACGCGTACAATATCGTTATATCATTATAAATGATATCGATTCRCGTGTACCACGAGCGTTTATTTARCCTGWAATGATATTCAAAACATGTAGGTATGAAACTCACCCGAGATTTCGGTCGAAAAGATCCACCGGAAGAGTATCCTTCATTAGATCCATGCAACCCCGAGCTGGGAAACTGAAAATAGAAAACGTAAAATCACGGTTATTGATTAATGTACAAACGTTGTTACGTAATCGTGTGGTATACATAGCCTCACTGTAAGTAGTATATTATAGCAATATTCTATGAGTAAATATTATATCGTATTGTGTACATCAWAAACGATTATAATAGTATTAAATAAAATAATAGACACATATAACAGTAATTAACATGTGTGTAAAAAGCGAGMGAGATCGGATAGAACTATTTCGTCGAATTGTGCGCGAAAAATCAAAAAAAAAAAAAAGTCGAGGGAAAATCAAAAATCTATAACTCAGAAAACGAGATGACACGGATATGATAAACAAATATCGGAAATGTGATGGAAATGTATGTACGAAAATAAATTCACAAATTCTCATACACACGTGTATACATATATTATATATTTACATACAATATATGATATTACATGTACCCAATATAATATATATACTTATATATACGCGTATGAATTATATTCACACACACACACATATATATATACGTGTGTGTGTGTGTGTGTGTGTGTGTGTGTACTGTGTATTATATACATTTGTATATTGAAACATCGTTTGGAATATGGAGAAAGGAGAAAATAGAACATCGATTTCTCCCCGCGCACCCATATATAAAACCCGCCGCTCACTCATTCGTCGTCCATCACCCACCCAATCACTCGCGTACACACGCACACACACACACATGCGCGCGATTTTCTCGTATTGTACACCAAAGCTTACCTTCTGTGACCCTACCTCTCGGGTAGAGATGCCCATTTTGTCATGATGTCTGATTTGTACCGGGTAGATGATCTGATAATAATTGGCTCCGATGTTCCGCACCAGCTCTTGGTTCTGTCGATAATCCCGCAGGAGCCTTTCCACTTCCCCTGCACACCAAATCGAAAATAAATAAACGAAAATAATAGTTATATATAAAGCAGCTGGCTAGGTTAGATCACAGTAACTATATTTTATTCCTTAAAAAATAAAAATTTATGGCGCGGCGTAGCAAGGGGGTGAAAAAGATATTGATTGCAACGTTTGGTAGATAAAATCTGAACGATCAGTTCACATATCATAATATGAAAGTATGTTATATTTTTGTACTTTTGATAATATTACGTATGTGACCAGACCTATGTACGACGTAATACATGCCATTATTATATTAATACATAGTGTTGTATAGTGTATACTCGTAAACTAATTTATGGTAACTTTGTACCTCATGCTTTAAAATCTCCACTTTCTGATCTTTAATATTAATCGACAAAATTGTATACATTTAAGATTTCTATGAGATTTTATTCAGTATTATAGGTGCATTAAATTTATTTAAATTTGTATATAATTCTCGAAAACTTATTAGGTAACTAATTAATATATTAGTTATTATTTACCTACTCGTATTGATATAACCTATTCATAATTTTTAATCATTCAGTAAATAATTATCCAATGATAAGGATATTTTTTTTTGTTCACAAACAATAACCTAACCCCACAGAGAATAATATWATATTATTATTTTATAAATGCAGTAATATTTCTGTTTTGACTAGATATCTATAAAATTACAGTAGGCACGCAATTTAATGACCACATTAATTATTCAATATTACTAATGCAGTCAAATTTTAATATTATATGCATTTAATTATTTTGAGTTAAAAWTAAATTATAAAATAAGTGTAGTGCGTTTAAATATACAAAACTGTATTATTCGTGATAAGGACGTTTTATCAAATTCTTGAGATGAGGGAAGGGATGAAAATAATTTATGTCGGGCATGAGTAGAAATCACTAAAAAAATAAATATTGTTGCCAATTAATGTCTAGGCCTGACAAGAAGGTTATAACCACATACCAATGTCAAAAATAGATATATATTTTCTTCGGAAAAATATAACAGATATGTCTGGGTTAGGCCATTATTGATTTAAGCGAAACAAACAGACACGTCATACAACATTATCATGTCTAGATGCCATTCTTGTAACTGATTGAATTAAAATCCATCTCTGTAAATCACATTCAAAATTGCATACCACCGAAGGGGCAAAGTAACAAAGGCACGAAATCTACGACCCTGCAGCCGCAAGACATATTATTATATCCTTCTCTCAGTTTATCCAGCGCCGAGTAATAAAACACCTTTGAGGGGTTCTGCTGACGAATTATTTTTGTGATAGATATTCGAATAATATATTATTATAAATATAATGAATCATCAGACCGTATTATTTTTTTTTTTGTTCTTTGCACGTAGTTCTATGTCGCCGAGTATTATCCCAGCCTTGATAGAACGTAATAAATACGTAAATCTGTCCCATGACGTTTTTACAATCAAATAAAATGTAGAGAAAAAAGTATCAACTGTTTATCGTAGTCACAGTGGATTATTTTAAATATTCGGATTACTCGTATCTGTGTGGTGTGAATATCTAATAAAATACACATCTGATTAAAAATAATCGCGTAAAAACCTAATGACCATCGCCATAAAATTATGATCGCATTAATGGCACGAGAATCGTTAATGCACAGCTAGTATTCTTGTTATAACAATATTATTACGATTATAGACAATTTTAAAAATAAAAACACGTAGACAACTACGTCTACACCTGATACTGTCACGTCATTATATTGATTTGTTTATAATGTTTACGGTACGCTTATTGTTAATTAATAATAAAGTGTACAAGATACCGATATTGCCTCACGGGAGCAATAAGCAAAGTTTCCGTTTCAAAGTACACGTTTGTTGTAATATATATTCGCTATACACAGGTATAAAATACTCCTCGGGAGTTTGAATTATATTTTCGCGTCTCGTTGAAATTATTTTAATTTTCCTGTTCAGTACAGCGTTACAGTGAGCCGTTCAAACACATTGACAGGAAATCTGTGCGAGCATAACTCGAGTATAAGATAAAACATTTCACAAAACTATGTACAATCTGCGCATTGTTTGGCAAACAAGAATTTAATATTTTACAACATATATATCTGGTCAAAGAAGAGCTCGTTTGTGATAAATAAAACACAATATTGAGAACAATAATAATAATAATAATAATAATAATAATAATAATAATAATAATAGTAATAATAATAATTGTCCCGATATTATAACGATGTAGTTTGCGCGATTTTAAATTCAATTTTTGCCCACCCCCTCACTCATCACCGGAAGAAGAAGTAAAAAGGTTGATGATGAGAAGGGATGCCGAGAACGGTAGAGGTAGGTTGTCTTTTGTGCGACAAGGATGATAATATTTTTTGCAAAAGGAAATATTATTATTATTTATATATATAAAACATGAAAAAAATATGATAGAGAAATGCAAAGAACATCGATTGATGTGTAGGATATATAATGTAACCTTCTAGTAATATTTGAGTACAATAACTGCGCTCCGAGTATCTACTCTGATCAGCAGGAGATGGAAAAGCCGACCAGGAAACGGATAACAACGAAAAAACCTGAATGCCATTCCACCCTAACATCTGTATTCTGTATATAATAATAATAATAATGCTCGTCCTTAAGCTTATTTATATCTCTCAAAAAACTCCACACGCCGAATACCTTTTTTAGTGACATATTTTTTTACTTTTTTTTCGCATTCTTGTGGCGTTTTACACAMAGAGAAATATCAGAGATTTCACTCATTTCACAGTGGACATTACAATATATTGTAATAGTATAATACGAAAATTCCATTAGAATATTATTATTATTACAATATACTATATAGAGTAATATATATTATACGCATGTGAATGACGTATATCAAATATTACATAATATAATATGTGCACACGTCGTAMAACACCCGCTGAGGCGTTTTGAACTGCAGTGAAATTATGTTTATAARGCGACGATCACGCCATGCYTCAATCGAATAATTATTCAGTTTTTWATTTTAATTTTAAGTATCCTACCAAATAATTCACGAGTAATGATTGTATTTTCAAATACTTAGATTTTTTTATGCCATTTTATGAGTATTATTCTTCGGTGATAAAAATTTGGTTTTCTCAAATGAGAATAAATTTGTTGTGAAAATTGTGTTGTTTATAAACTAAAATTAAAACGATTAGTTTCCTAGAGGCAAACTAAACGTTCTATTAGGGTAATAGTCTCGCATAATAAATAGAATATAACCTATTTAAGATTACAATTTACAAAGATGCAGGACTATGAGGATTTAAACAAATAATTGCAGCCATCAATATTAAACTATCGACATTTTATAATTTATAGCTGTGTCAGTATAATTATTAAATAGTAAGTACTAAATACATACTAAATAATATACTAAAATATTATATTTCATGTTTAATATGCATTAACACACACACACACACACGAAAAAAATCATTTGAATAACAGGTGATCCAATTTTATTTTAAATTGAAATAGTTATTAATTAAAACTGCTTTAGACGGTGAAAATAATTTAAGTCTTTAAAAATAATATRTTCTAAGGGTATATTTATAAACCTCAGAAATTGTATAAAATCGTTTGAAGTTTATTTAATATTTGAGAAATCGAATGATTGAAATCGTGTATTGTTAACAAACCAAAATGAAAACAACACAAAATATTTATTTATTTATTTATTTTTGCTAGGTAACTACGTAAATCTTAATAAACTAACATTATCTCTAGCTATAGATAGCTTCTTTAATGGTATTTTATTAGTAGAATAAATTATTTTATCGACTCCATAAATTTCACGAAAACTTAAACAATTAAACAAATTTTAATGGTCAGATAAAATACCTTTATAATATATTTTATCACATTATTAAACTAATATGGTTTAATTACTTGTAATTCTTWAATAAATGCGTGTGATTTGACCCTCGATACTTGCATAATATACCTAACCTATAAAATAATGTGTACATGTTTAATTTAGTTTTTAAAAAATAAATGGAACATGCACTCGAGTTTTTTGATTACACGAAATTCTACTCATGCCATAATTTGTAATTCCAATTATTTATAAACAATTCAACAGTCAACAMATTATACTAAATATCAGCTGTGTCTACGTTTATTGAATTTCGGGTGAACCAATAAATTGTTAGAACGCATTATAATGCCCAGTTCACTCACGACATGAAGGAACAATCCAGAGAATAGCCCATAAATTAGACTATTATTATTATTAATAATAATAATAATAATAATATGTATGATTCGATGTAATTTATCGCGTTTAATATTTTATTGTAAGTGGCTTACGAACGGTAATAATTTATTATTGAAAAACAGTTTCGAAAAAAGGACGTGCTAGAAAACTTAGATATGAAATTATTTTTACCGTTTAGAAACTAGGTCGAGTATAATATATATGGGATGGCCAGTTATTTATTTATTTATTATTTTTTTTTGTTTACAAAATATATTATTTCATGTTTAACAGTTCTGTTTTAATAGTTGAATAGATAGATACATTTAATGACGTAGGTAAAAAAAGTTATAATGACATTAATAACTGTTACGAGAATATTATTATTATACATCCGAAATCAATTAATATTATCTAATGTATTCTGTGAATAAAAAATGAATAATTAATTAAAACTTTTATGTGCCACCTAATCAATAATTGAATTTAAAATAATATTTATAAAATAACATAATTTTTTTAATTTTTATAATACAAAATTGAAAATATCTTCGATCAGAATAATTTGTTGTACAAATGTGTGATATATGCAATATCAATTTCCTATTATTAATAACCTGATGCTTTCAGTAAATAATCAGTGGAAACTTTTATGTGTACAAATTATAATTAAAATATAAATTATTTTAAGCCTATCGACATTAAACATTTTAATATCACTGTAATCCATTTTTATA